GCGGATACAAAAATTTCCGAATACGTGTGGACGGGGCCTAATAAAGAAAACAAGACATACTCTACCTTATGCAAATAGCACGTGAGAATGCTACATCTRGTGGAAGATGAATATATCTATCAACTGCTCCTAGAAGAAGATTAAAACAATATATTATTTTCAYTATTTCATTAAGACAGCTTGTTCACAAGGGGGCGTACATAGYWGTGWAGAACAATAAGAATTTGGACTAATATGACGCTACAGCTAAATTGATAGCTCTGATGAGTGTGTTTCAAACGYTTTATAAACTGATATTTCTCCTACAATATATATATGACATTTGTTAGCTATTATTGCTTTTCTAAGTCCTAAATATACAGATTTTCTCCGTTTTAGTTCCTTTTAACTCTAGCCCTAACCTTTAGTTCATTGTGCTAATCTTCGTTTTCACGCCACGTCATCGCGGCCATGATGGTACCATTTAACAAAAGATTTCTCATTAGCATCCATTGTTAACGGTAACACAATGACCACCATGTTTTTGTCTTTTAACTCTCTTGGGAATGCATGCTACCCATCAATTGCTGTTTAGTCTTCCTCCCACGACCATGATTCTTAGCGTTAAAACAAAAGATTGTGACGACATAATGAAGTGTGGCCACAGAGTGACGTTGTTGACATATACTTTGGCACATTACTTAAGCTGCTCTTGCGATAGATGAGAGCGGTTTGTATTTCTCACACTGGGTTGAGATCAGAGGTAGTGAATTGCGCAACAACACCTTAGAATTGTCAGCATACAAGGTTTGTGACAAAAAAAGTGATACTTTTTGTAATCTTTGGTAAAAGTGTCCATTATCTCTCAGTTATTGTAAGATAGAGAGAGATGCAGAGAGTCAGACAGACAGACAGACAGACAGACAGACAGACAGACAGACAGAAGGAATGAATGAATCACTTTTATTAAAACACGTAATGATAAAAAGATAAATTATACACCGTGAAAAGATGAAAAAAATTACTTAGTAAGTTTTTTTCATCTTTTCACGGTGTATAATTTA